TAAAAAAACAGGTAGGGCCGAGCCTCCACAGGTCATCCCATCATCCATGCCCCTGACTCAGGACAGATGTGGATCTGGGGTTAACTCAGCCCATTCAGACAGACGCCTCTCAAATAGAGGCCTCCTAGAAATGTAAGTGCATCCACCTGGGATAGGCCCTTTCCTCTGAAGCCACACATGGCCAAGCATGATTTGCTTTATGTACCTACCCCACTGCCCAGAGAAAGACCCCAGAAAGTGATTCTCTCATCTGGGGGACATCTAAATTATGAGGACTGAAAGCAACCTTACTTTTAAATACAATGATCCAGCTTCCATTGTATGATTTGCTTTATGTACCTACCCCACTGCCCAGAGGAAGACCCCAGAAAGTGATTCTCTCATCTGGGGGACATCTAAATCATGAGGACTGAAAGCAACCTTACTTTTAAATACAATGATCCAGCTTCCATTGCATTAAACCCATTTCAGGGAAGTATCCCTATTTTTTAACCTACTGGCTGAACTGGAGGAGGCCCTGCAGAAGGCCAAGCAGGACATGGCCAGACAGTTGCGTGAGTACCAGGAGCTGATGAACGTCAAGCTGTCCCTGGACATTGAGATCGCCACCTACCGCAAGCTGCTGGAGGGCGAGGAGAGCAGGTGGGCTACCTTCTGCTCCCAGCACAACCCAGACAAATGCTACCAGAATGTGACAGGATGCTACAAAAGCGACATGAGCCCCTCACTGCTAGGCCCCCAGATAAAAAGCCCAAGGTCAGTGGCGTGGGGGAAAAGCCAATGTTCCTTCAGAGGTTCCCTCCCTCAGCTGCTGCCGGCCCAGGCAGGGCCAGGTTCAAAACTGTGAGGAAGAGGTGGGCGGGACCAGGAGGTCACATGACCAGGAGTGGCAGGCACTAAGCGGAAACATTTCAGCTCAGGTCTTAAAACAAATGCAGGCACCCTCAGAATTGACCTCAGGGGAGGCACAACTCCCAGAGATGCCCTGCACACTGACCATCCCACTCTGCATTGTTAGCACAGATTCCTCTTCTCATTTCTTTGAATATTTTGACTTGATCCCTGGTTTAGGATTCCCTCTGCCTATTTGTGTTAGCTTCTAGAGCTCATGAGATGAATGTCAAGTTTGTTAAACACCGGGCCTGGCACACAGTATGTGCCCGGGACTGATGACTTCACATGCAAAGGACCCAGAGCTCTCTAACATTTCAGCAATGATTCTCTTTCCGTTCCCCCCCCCAACCCCCACCACAGGCTCACTGGAGAAGGCGTCGGTGCTGTGAACATCTGTGAGTAAATGTCTTGGGAAGACAGATGAATGGGGGGAAAGAGGGCAATATGAGCCACTAGCCTCACTAACTGGGATTTGGTGGCTAGAAAATGCACAACAGGGGCAGAGACACTATCAAGCCCCTCCCAGAGGCTCTGCGGAGACCCCTCTGTTCTTTGAGGGTTGTTTTTTTTGTTTTTTCCTCCCACTGAAATCAAGAGAACTGAGACCAAGAGTCTCCTGTTGAGATCAAGAGAACAAAAACAAGGAGCTTGGGGACTTTTCTCATTCTGGGAAAATCTCCTCAGATACTGAAGGGGACCCTTCATCCCTGGGGGTTGCAAGGGGGTCGGTCATATGTCCAGCCTGGCCCAGAGGATCCTGTATGGGGCAGGACTGCTCATGCAGCAGGGTGCCCTGCTCTCGGCTCTTCCGGCACACAACTAACAAAAACAGCTCAAAGGCCTGTATGTATAATTCAAGCAAACTAGCTGAGCAAGTAGAACAGTGATGTCTAGACCTGGCCTGGATTCCCAGGAGGAGACCTGGAGAGGGTGATTGCAGAGGGACTCACCTCCCCAGGGCTAAGGTCTGATGAAAAGCCTAGCATCTTCAGTGGCAGTATGGGAGCACTGTCCCGGTCATGGAGAAGAGAACCCTCAGGCCCTGACTAGGTCAGAGAATAAGGAGACCAGAACCTGTGGCCCACTAGAGAAAGGATCAGGGGGGCCCCACAGGAGAAGCAGATTTCCACAAGGAGGTCTAGCAATGGCTTCACATGCCTGGCAGGCTGGGAACATTGTTCACTCACAGGGCTGAGTTCACTGCTAATGAAGCATTGGAACAGATGCTAAACAGCTGTGGCCTAGCGATGAAGCTGCAGGGATGCCAGTACTTGGCAGAGGGGCTGCTCGTCTAGGTGGCTTTGGGGTCTGTCCTGATATAGGAGTCCAGGGCTCCCGCCTCAAATTGGAGTCTTATATCCCATCTAATGTGAGAGCCCCTGGAGTGGGGGGCGGGGAGAGAAACACAGTACAGGAGCCTAAGCCCTGGTCTCTGGCAGGGATGACCTTCGGCATGCCGCCTGATCTCTTCCCACCTCTCTCTCTTACACTGTAAAATGGAAGTCACTGAAGTGATGACGTCCCCTCAAGGGGACCAGTGCTATCACAGCTATGAAAGCTTTGAGAATCACAAAGCCTTGTATAGATGCTCATATTGAAGCAGCCAGTGACAGAGACCTTCAGTCAGGCCCACCCTGCCTCCTGCTTCCTCAGGAGCTGGCTGGCTGTCATCTGAGGTTTCTGGGGGCTTCCTGGAGCCAGGCACTATGGAGGAGAACAGGCTTGATGATGAGCCTCGGAGGGGCTCCTGACGACTGACAGTGTGCCCTATGCCTTCTCTCCACAGCTGTGGTCTCTTCTTCCGGGGGCACAAGCTACAGTGGAGGCGGTGGCCTTTGCATGAGTGGGGGCAGCTATGGAGGAGGTGGCTACAGTGGGAGTGGCCTCTGCTATGGCGGCGGAGGGAGCGGCAGCTTCAGCTCCACCAGCGGTCGCAGCGTGAGTGGCAGCAGTTCCAGCATGCGCATCGTCTCCAAGACTTCGTCCAGCAAGAAGAGTTACCGGAGCTAAAGTACTACCTGCCTCGGCTGCCGTCCCCAGCTCCCCAGCTCCCCAGCTCCCCAGCTCCCCAGCTCCCCAGCTCCCCAGCACTAAGGCCTGATGCTTAGCCCATGCCTACAGTCTCCAACAGGAGCACTCAAACCAGCAAGCGGTCTATGAGTTTTAAGGTCCCTTCGTCTGGCTTCTGCCTCCAAACAGGTCCCCCAGAGAGCTCCCCACCCACTCTTCATCTCAAAGTCTTCCAGGGTCCATTTCTACCCACACTGACTCAACTGCTTTAGGCTAGGCCTTTGCCCATAAACAGTGGGGGGCAGTGTGGGTGCAGCAAGTCTTTCTCTACTTGCCTGGCAACCACAAGAGGTTCTTGTTCAGTCCTTCAGGGGACCTTAGACTTGACCTTGGTGGCCCAAAGTCAAGTAAATTCTAGGTCAGAGTTCGCAAGTATGTTGTTTCTTCTTGTAGACAGGACCCCTCCTGCTGGGGCTTCAGACCAGGAAAACCCGTGCAGACCCTACTCCACACGCTGCCTTTCTCTCCCTTTCTTCTTCCTACCGAGGGTCTAGCTAGAGAACTCCCACCAGAGGAATATTTGAACCTTTCCCGATAGCCTCAACTCTTGATCATTCATACCACAATGGAAGAACTTGATCAAGAACCCCAAACTCCTCTATGACCTTTGGCTGCATTAAATTGAGAATCCTGAGGCAAACCAGTCTCAATTAAGCTGATGTTTGGAATTGCTTTCCCTAAACAGAAACATCCCAGTGAGGAGTGGGAGGCAGGCTCAGGTAGGGGGTGGGGATATCTCAGCCCAGGTTCCTGCAGAAGACACCCCTGAAGAAGAAATCCAATTGCCCTGAATGAAGCACTGTCTTCCGCAAAGCAGTGCTCAAGCCTAGACCTTTCTCCCTCTTTTCCTTGCACTAGCTGCATCTCCCTTCTGGAAAGTTCTCTTGTTTACTTTGTCCTTTCCACCTGCTTGCTCGCCTGCTTTTCTCTACTCATACTCCACCACCCTCGGGTCTCCTGTCTCTCGGGTCCTCTTTCCTCTCCTCTCCTCATTCTCTCCTTCCCACTCTGCCCACAACCTCTCTTGTTCAGCCTCCCAGCCTCTGAGGTGACTCTGGGCTGTGTGCACTACCTGTCTCTTCCCCTCTGTCTGCTTAGCTAGAAGGCAGCTCTCTAAGCCCTCAGGGCAGAGCATAGACTACAAGTTGGAGGAGAGAGGCAGCCCCTGCTTTGCTGGGTGGACACAGGGCCCTTCCAAGGTAGCAGAGGGAAAATGCAAGGAATAGGAAGGGGGATATGCATGAATCTTTTGGAAGCTGGCCTTCACCATGGTTTAGTCTGAAGAGCTGTAAACCCTCAAACGCCTGCTATGAGTTCAGGACCATAATGCTTACCCAAAGGCAATGAGGTAGCCTGCTGTCGTGCTGCATGTGAACAGAGTTAACAGCTTCGGAGTACCAGCCAAACCTTCCAGACTGCCCGTTTCTCTTGTGGCTCCTCTTATGCATGCCTGTTTCCTGGAATTGCTTTAATAAAATGTCATTGAGCACCCTGGGCCTTCACTGAATGTATCTTGTCTCATAGTTGTTGGCAACCTCAGAACTGGTGGGCTCTGGGAATCTATGCTTTGGACTGCCGTAAGTCCAGTAAACCATCCTCACCTCTGCTCCTGAGTCCTGGTCCCAGGAACTCAGCATGGTCACTGGGACCATCACCTGTCCTGGAGATGGCAGGAGGGAGGTGACTCCAGCAAGCCCTGTCATCTTGGCTCTGCCCACTGCGTGTCCCCATAGCAGTCTGCCCTTGGGTCAAGATTCTTGGCTTCACCATTTGCACCATTTCCTGGATCCGCCATCAGAATGAGAATGTCCTCCCTCACTCCGTGTACCAAAACCTCATCCCAGTAAAACCCCAGCCCACTCCACTGTTGCCTTCCAACCATCACTCAGTCTCTTAATTGTACCTCTCATTCTCAGACTCAAAGCCAAGGCTATGAAAGAGGGTAATGAAATGGCACAATTAGGCAAGAATTTCTAAGGCATGAGATAGCTTTGCATCCCACTCTATTGATCTACAGGTGGCAAAGCAAGGAACACACAGCATGTTGGGGGTAGATCTCCCATCCAAACTCAGGTTTCTGCCTCTGTGGTTACAGAGCACAGTGAAGACCAAGGGAACAGGCTCTAACCCCAGCCTTGTCACCAAAAAGCTCACCACCGTGCTCCTCACGTTCCTCATCACACTGTCCTAGGAATTAAATGAGATCATAGATGTAAAAGGCCCAGGGTGGTCTTGACATGTAGTAAACCCCTAATCAATGGTACAATATTACGGGCTTTTGATCTGGACATAATCTCAGTGAGGAAGGGCCAGGCCAATTTACCCAGCACAGGCTGCTCTGTGCAGGTGGATAGAAAGAAGGGAGAAGCTGGGGAGGGCTTGAGCATCTCCAAAGAGATGTGTCTGTGGCCTCTCGCTGGAAAGAAAGCCTGATTCCCGCATCTATCTGGAACGTTCCCAAAGACAACACCGTCTCCACGGGTATTCTCAGGTCAGAGTAGACTTCGTCCCCATGATGGAGGCTGCCATTGGCAGTGCTTTCCCTAGACCAGCCTGGTAGGGGTAGGAGACAGAGTATGGGAGAGAGCATTACTTCCTCTCCTGTCCCCAAGCTCGGCTCTCTCCCCCAGTCCCCGGAAGCCTCTGTGAATAAACAGGGGTGGGGTGGGGCCAGTATCTGTGCCTGGAGGACCCTGTGAGACAGCTGTGTGGAAGCAAAGGTGCTTCCTGTCCTGAGTTGGGTCAAGATACAGTCTGTGACAGGGAGGCTTTTTTCTCCTTGGGCAGTTCTAGGCTTGTCTGGGAGCCTAAGTGGGCTGGGGGGGGGTGGCGGGGATCACTAGGAATTCACTGAGACAAGCTCTAGCAAACAGAACATCTTCAATATCTTTAACCTGCCCTCGTAGCCAGGGAAGTTCCCTCCTGTGAAACCTCCAACTGTCCCTTTCCTGGAGGCTAAGCCACTGGATATGACACCCATATGTGCCTGGCTGGCCCCTTTCATGGTTCCCATAAACAAGGAACAAGGACAAATAGGATTTTTATGGGACCCCCCCCCCAGCACTGACCACTGGCTCCCTCTTGGTCTTTGCTGCCTTAATTATGCACCTTGTACCTACTAGCTTCCAATACCCCAAGCTCATAAACCTGATTTAGTGGTGATTAGGGGTTTGAACCAGTCCAACCCCTAACCCCCACCAGATAAAAGGGGAGAAGCCTTTCCACAGCTTGGTCAATCCTCCCCTCTAGGGCTCCATCTCTGCTTCTCCTGCCATGTCGTGTCGCAATTTCCAGCTGAGCTCCAGGTGTGGCAGCCGGAGTTTTAGCTCCTGCTCAGCTGTCATGCCCCGGATGGTCACTCATTATGAAGTGAGCAAGGGGTCCTGCCGGCCTGGGGGTGGTGGGGGCCTCCGAGCCCTGGGCTGCCTTGGCTCTCGAAGCCTGTGCAATGTAGGGTTCAGCAGACCCCGAGTTGCCTCCAGATGTGGCATGCCTGGCTTTGGGTACCGAGCGGGGGCCACCTGCGGACCTCCTACCTGCATCACCCCTGTCACCATCAATGAGAGCCTGCTGGTCCCTCTGGAGCTGGAGATCGACCCAACGGTCCAGAGGGTGAAGAGGGACGAGAAGGAGCAGATCAAGTGTCTCAATAACCGCTTCGCATCCTTCATCAACAAGGTAAAAAGCAGCGAGGGCAGGGTAGGGGGAGACCTGCTACAGAGAGCATTCCGGGTCTGTTTTATTTGAGGGGCAGGGAACCACTGGCAGTAGACAAACTGCTGTTTGTCCACTGGCCTCTTGAGCATTTCATGACTACTTGTCAGTGAAAATGTCTGCTTCGTAGTCCATATGCAAGTGTGTGTGCATGCATGTATATGTATTCACATATATATTCATATATATATGAAACAAGGTCTGCTATATAGCCCTGGTTGATTTGAAATTTTCTATGTAGACCAGGCTTACCTATACAGCATTACTCCTCCCCATGCTTCCCAAGTGCTTGAGATTACAACGAACACACCATACCAGGTCTCAGCCCTTGAGGTTTTTTTAGGGAGGGGGATTAGAATACTATCTTTGACAAATCATCAAAGTTGTCTGTCAAAGGGATTTCCAAAGCAACAATGAAAGGGATGACAAAAGACGCAGAGAAGTGAGCCCCCTTTCTCATAGGGAGTTAACAGTAGAACCACTTTCTGGGTGATTCTCAGACCTGAAAGGCAGGCTTGGATACCATGACCAACATATGCTATCATTTTTTAGGCCTGGGGTGATGAATTAGCGGAGCTCAAGGCACAAAGTGGTTATCACATCATGCATCTGCTCACCCCAAAACCAGAGCAACAAGAAAAGCCTTGGAAAGCCTTGAAAGGCTACAAGGCCAGGTGATGTGCTGCCTTTAAGAAGCACTGAGTCCCCACACCCCCAGAGAGGCTCTTAAGTCAGTGTCCATGCCAAGGGCTGAGCTAGTGTTTCTGGAACCCCCTAAGGATTAGGGCAAACATCCCTGGGCCAGAAGTCAGAAGTCTAGTCCTGGCAGGACCTACTCCTGCTACCCTGAATCTCTGTGCAAGCCACTCACAGCTCAGCCTCAGTCTTTGCTACTTGGGGATGGGGGAAGTGGGAAATAAAGGCAGGAGGATTAGAGTTCAAGGCCAGCTTCAGCTACATAGTGAATTTAAAGCCAATCTGGACTACATGAGACTCTGTCTCAAAACACAAAGCAAAAAAAAAAAAACCTTTCAAATAGAGCTGGTCCACTCCCACTGTGTTATTCTTAAAAAACCTTTCAAATAGAGCTGGTCCACTCCCACTGTGTTATTCTTAAAGTTCCTTAAGTTCTGGTTATAAACATTCCAACAAGGTGGTTCCTGGCCATCAACCTCTGTAAGGTTGGCAACAACCTCCTGTTGACATGGCCAGTAAGCAGAAACAGGGCAACATTCCTTCTGCTGCAGCTGTCTTGAGAGGCAAGATTTAATATGGGAAAGCCCACAGTAAGAGCTGCAAGCCGTGTGCTCTGTGCCTGTGACTAACCAGTGACCAGATCAACTTGTTCAGCTGTTCCAATCTTGGTTTCAGTTCACAAAAATAGAGAAGGTGAATCCATGTTACCAGGACCCAGGCTTCCCTCAGATGTGTCCATGCAGGAGTGGGGCAGGAGAGGTGGAAATATCCTACAGTGCTAGAACACAACCTTTAACCTGATCTTTTGCACTGAGTGCCCCAGGTCTCAGGCATCAGTCTTATGCTTATGTGCAGCTGTGACTATGACAAGGAGAGGCTTGCAATGGGGAAGAGACTTGGTCCAGGTCAGAGAGCTGGACGTGGGCTGCCCAAGACCTCTTGGAGCACACTTTCTCCACCCCAACTTGTACTACCAAAGTGGAAGATGGGAGTCCTCCAAAGTCCCCAAGGTTGAGGATACACCAAGACACATCCTCTTGGATGTCAGTCTTTTCAGAAACTGATGTGTTCCAAAGCGTGGTCTCCCGGTCCTTTCTGCATGGTGACATCCATTCTTGGTGGCAGGTGCGGTTCCTGGAGCAGAAGAACAAGCTGCTGGAGACCAAGTGGAACTTCATGCAGCAGCAGAGGTGCTGCCAGAGCAACATGGAGCCGCTCTTTGAGGGCTATATCTGCGCCCTGCGGCGGCAACTGGACTGTGTGTCTGGGGACCATGGGAGGCTGGAGGCTGAGCTCTGCAGCCTCCAGGATGCACTGGAGAGTTACAAGAAAAAGTAAGTAGGCTCTGCCTTCACTTGGAACTAGGGCAAGCTGCAGAAGTAACCCAGTTGCCTATAAAACAAGAAACCTGATGGTAAAACAATTAAGTAGAAGAAAGCAGCAACGTTATCATCTACATGTGGAAGCTCTGAAACTTGTGTCTTTTTCTTGATCTTTCTCTCTCCCCTGCCTGACCCAGGGCCTCGAAACCCCTTGCTATAAAACATGCTCTTTCACCTACCACTTCCAGAGCCTCAAGCCTCTGTTCCAGTTACCTCCCTGCTTGGCCTTACCTTCCCAATCCCTCTGTAGACCGAGAACTCCATCCTGGTCCCCCAGGACCTCCTTAGGGCTCTTCCCAACAAGATTTTTTGCCTTCTCCTCCCTCCACTTAATAAGCCTCCTCTCAGGATTTCCTACACCCATCCAGCTACCACAAGCCATATATTCTCACTTAGACTTCTCTGTCCCGTTGTGGGGTTCAGCTATCTATCCCATCCCATGCTCCCTCAGGACAGACTCTGAGCCTGCTTCCTAGCCTGGAGTAGGTGACTGATGTTACTGAATAACTACCAGGTAAGGAGCTCCCCGACATACAAAAAGCTGTGACCCAGAAAAGTTGCCTCTTTGTGGGTTCTGGTGAGTCATCCCTGGGCCCAGGGCTCCATGGAAATGGGAATGGGATGGGAGGATATGTTTCCATTGAGGAGAAACGGTGCAAGTAGACTGAGCCATAGTTCACAAGGGGTGTGTCAGTGGAGTGGAGCCATGGCAGGGGACATGATTGCTGTGTTATTCATTGCCCTTCTCAAAAGCAGGCACTGTACTGGGAACTGTGGATATTCTAGAGAAGGGAAGTGTAGCCTTATCCCTCAAGTTGCCCCTCAGCACACTCACCCTCAACACTTACATGGGAACAGCTACCATGCAGGACAGCAGAAAAGAGAGGAGACAAGGGGCAGAGGCATCGTTAGGCTTTGGGGGAGGCACCATAACGCTATGTTCTTGACGGATGTTTCTTCCAATAGCTGCCTTCTAAAAAAAGAGAATTCAAAACCAGGTATGGCGGCAGATACCTTGTAATCCCAGGACTCAGGAGGCTGAGGCAAAAGGATTATGAGTTCTAGGCCAGCTTGGGATACACAGTGACTTTGAGGCCAGCTTTAGTTATAGAGTGAGTCTCTGTCTCAAAAATGATTAATTTAATCAAAGAGAAGTCAGAGTAGACCTCAGGAATGAGGGCGAGATAACAGCAGGTGACTGACAGTTTATAGCAGGGGCAAAGGCCACTCCGTCTGCAGGAGCAATGCCTTCCTTGAGAAGACCATAGCAAGGTAAGATTAGGAGACCAGTTTGCAGCTCAGAATAAAATCTCTGAATTTTAAACAGGGGCCAGTAGAAAAATGAAGCCTGACTGACATGTCAACCACTACGGCTAACACTTTCATAACACTTGCCCCAGTCCAGGAACTGTCCTAAAGAATTGCAGATGTCAGCTGACTCACATGAACACTGAGAGGCAGGCCTGGGCTGCCCCTGTTCTGTAGAAGACACCATTGCAAATAATGAAACCCACAGCTGCCATCATCCACTCAGCTTGACCGGGCCTAGTGTATGACAGAATGGAGATTCAGACCAGGGCAGTCAGCTCCAGAGCTCTGCACAGGGCTGGGAAGCATTGGTCTACTAAAGAGAGATGGGCATCAGGAACACAGGGATGCTTTCATAGATCATCACTGCTTATCAAACTGAGTCACTCTAGCCAGGCTGAACCCTGACTCTGATTCTGCCTTGGGGACAGTGTGTGGGCTGAGGAGCCCCTAGGAAGCTGGTGGGGCTGGGCTACCTCTATGGTTTGGTGAGTAGGTAATTGCTACCTCTGGTTGCGGGTTGGAGCCAGACTTACCCTCCAGGCAAGGAAGAGGCACAGGGTCAGCTGGAAATCTCCCCTGGATTGCAGCCAGCTCAGAACCACTCAGGGAAAGATGATGGGCTTTCTCTAATTCCCCGAGGAAATGGCAAGATGAGGGGGGTTTCCTCTGCATGCGAGAGAGAATGAAGTAGCTTTGTGGAAGACTTCCTATAGGACAACTCACCACAGAGGCAGGCTGCTGGGAAATGGGAAAGGGTAGGCTTGAGAGGCAGCTATGAGATGCCCTGGTGACAAGTGTCTCTGGAGAAGGGAAGAACAGGAATGGCTTAGAGAGAGATCTGGAGCTTAGGCACAAGGACAGCCAGAACTGCCCCCAGAGGCCTCTTCCAGTCTCCACATCTTCCCACAGGTATGAAGAGGAGCTGTCCCTACGCCCCTGTGCCGAAAATGAGTTTGTTACCTTGAAGAAGGTGAGGGGTGCACAATGAGGTGACACCAGCCTCTACATTGGTGTCCATATGTGTTCCCAGTCCCTCCCCAATAAGCCTCTCTCCTTTGATCTCTTGTGTTGACCCTGCTAACCCTGGGAAAGAGGAAAGCCCCTCCAATCCCCCTTACGAAGCAGGGATTGGTCTGGCCTCTACACCCCTCCCTCAATTCACATGGCCATAAAGAGCCATGAATCCACCTGCCCAAGAGGCTGCCTGCCTACCAGTGTAGCTAATGCCAAGTCAGAAAAAAATAAACACTGACTCAAAGCCCAGGCATGGAAACAGCTACCCCGTTCCTCAGCTTAGAGCCTAATGTTTCCAGGCCCCTTTGCACAGGGGTTCTAGGGAACCTCTACCTTTCTCCCTCCCTCCATATCCTTCCCTGGGGGTCAGGGCCAGGTAGGGGTCCCATGGCTGGGCCCCATTCACCTGGGCTCAGTGAGGAGAGCTGGCTCCACACCTCTCTGGGCTGCCAGCTTTCCCAGAAGGTGCTTGGCTGGTGGTAGACATAACTTCACACACAACTGCTCCAAGTCATAGCTCTGTTACTGTGTTACAGGATGTGGACACAGCCTTCCTAGTGAAGGCCGACCTGGAGACCAACGTGGAGGCCCTAGAACATGAGATAGAGTTCCTGAAAGCCCTGTTTGAGGAGGTAATCACAGCCACATGACCTTCTAGATGGATGGTCAGGACAGTTCCAGGGGACAAGGGTAGGAAAGTACATCAATAGGAAACGCAGAAAGAGCGCCCCAAGCACTCAGAGAGCAAGGCTCCCCAAAGTCATATCATCCAAATCTGTGTGGTTCTTGGGCCCCCCTGGAAAAGTTCTGAGTCATTAGATGGGCAAGGGGCAAGGACAAGGAGCAGGTTGGAGACTGAGGGCCAGTTGGGAAAAGTGGGATCAGAGTCCTGGGAAAGTTAGCCATGGGAGGCCAATGCAGGCTCCCCTCACACTCAAACCCTCAGCACTCACTCCTTGGATCCGGTCTCCCCAGGAGATCGCCCTGCTTCAGTCTCAGATCTCTGAGACCTCAGTCATTGTAAAGATGGACAACAGTCGGGATCTGGATGTGGATGGCATCATAGCCGAGATCAAAGCCCAGTATGACGACATCGCCAGTCGCAGCAAAGCAGAAGCAGAGGCCTGGTACCAGTGCCGGGTAAGGCTGGGGTGCAGAGAGCCAGGACTCAGATTGGGTCCCAGAGAGAACAAGGGAAGAAGAAAAGATGGGGAGACAGGCCAAGGCAGAAGAGGGGACCCAGATGCTCTCTGCCCTGGGAAGTAGCTAAAGACTTAACAAAGCTGGCCCATGCCACAGCACTAAAGAACCCCATAAACCCCAGCACTACTGTTTCTACCAGACTAGGTCTCTGCAGAGCAAAAGGACCCCACAAACAGGCCAGGCCTGTCACCAGGTTGCCAGGTCCCCAGTTCTGTTTACCTCCAAGCTCACCAGAGTGTCTCTCTAAGCAGCATGTAATCAGTATAATTGGAGTTGATGGCAGAGAGGGCTCTGGGCTTCAAGGTGTGGGTGGAGGCCACTGGCTTGGGTGTTACTGGTGGTGGAGCAGAAATGGTGATTAAGGGTGCCCTAGAATTAATAATTAGGGGCTTGCTGGGAGAGCAAGGGGTACCCCCGGGGCAGCTGGATTTAACCAATCCTGTCATCTCAGCCTCACTGCCCCGTCTAAGCAAGGCACCGGGTATGTGCTCACCCACTGGCTCCCACATTCGGCAGCTGTGTTTCTCATATTCCAAATAGTGCTGGGAGCTGTAGATGCAGCCAACCAGCCCTGCCTTCTGGTCATTTTCCTTCTTAGAGATAGGGCCACTGGGGGACAGGTAATACACATGACAATGATGTATCCCCGTGGAGGGGATGAGAGAGGGTGACAGGCAGGAGTACTGTGGAGTGGGGCTATAGCGTAGCAGGAGAAGAAAGAGGGTGACACCCGGTTGTCCTGTCCTGAAGGAGCCTACAGCCTGTTGGGAGAGAAACATATTTTGTCCAGTCACAGCCTACTCTATGGGAACATTCAACTCCCACATTGCCAAGGGTGAGCAACAGACTTCAACTGAGGAGGAACACTAAATTGTGTCTAGAAAAACAGGGGCGTTGACATTTGGCCTGCTCTCGCAAGACAGGTGATGCCAGTAAGCAGAGTGGGGGGGAAGGATGTTCAGGCCTAGAATGCAGAGACAGGGAAGTGAGGTCCACAGAGGGCCGTGCACTGAGACTCCCACCCCTCTGTGGAGCTGTGCTAGGGGCTTTAGACTCAGAAGGAGCCTTGAGGGGCTGTAGCAAGCATAGGTAATAAACCCACCTGCAGCCAGTCCCATGACCCAGTCATTCCTCCGCCTTCTCCTCCAAGTGCTTCTGGTTAACATCTCTCAAAGAACACAAGCTCATTTTTCCATTCCCAAGTCAGAACCTCAAAGACAATTCTATATGTTAGGATTGTTTTAAGCTATGAGGGTCAGAAATCTGTAAAAAATAATTAAAGTCAATTCAGTTGTTTTTTTTTTAATCAGATAAAGTATAAAAATAAACTATACAGGGTGATGCCAGAGTTCTCTGAAGCCACCAGGGGCTCAGGATTCTTCTAACTTTCCACTCTGTCATCTCGAACACATCTTTTCATGAACACAGTTGCATTGTGTTGCCAAATAGCTACAACATCTCCAATATCACATACCTCTGCCAGGCAGGAAGGAGCACAGAGGTAAGGCATGCCAACTGAGTCATCCCCCATTTAAAGAGGTTTCCTAGAAGCATCCTCCCATGTGGTGTGGTGAGGCTGGGCACATGGTTCCTTCCCTGAAGGACATTTTCTGTCTCCTCCAGGACAGGGATGGTCTGATTGTTGGTGTCCTCTGAGCCACCCTCCTCCTTCCCTGTCTAAATCCTCACACCCATAACACCCCTGCCCCTGACTTATCTCCACCCACCACCTAGTACCGTCCTGTGTACTTCCTTGTGGTGCTGTCTGCCTCAGAAGGAAAAGGACCGAGGCAGAGCCGACTGGCTGTGCCATTCCCAGCTACATCAGCAGCTCCCGGCACTGAGCTTCAGCACATGAGGGACAGTAAACAGTTGCCGAATGTGGGAGCCAGAGGTCACAGGCTGGGAAATATCTATCAGGGTTCAGAGGCCTCTGTTTTAAGGAAGAGAAGAGTGAATATTTATCGTACAACCACAGGCTTTCCTACAGTAACAGGATAACAAGAGAGCCAAAGATTGATTTGTATTTTCTGTAGCTGACATCTTCCATCCACTATCAGAAAACTTGAAGTTGGCTAATTTTTTAAATCTATAAATGCTATGTGTGTGCTTTTCAGAAATTAGATTCAAAACATCACATTGTGGTTTTGTTTGGTTTGGGATTTGTCTTTGACACAGGGTCTCACTAAGCAGCCCTGCCTGGCTGACCTAAAACTCACTATTTAGAACAGGCTGGCCTTGAAGGCACAGAGATCCACCCACCTCTGCCTCCCAAGTGCTGAGATTAAAGATGTGTGCCATCATACCTGGCCCGTGTTCTGCTTTTGACCATTCAGCCCCAGGCTGAACATAGAACCTTCCAAAGTCAAGAGGGATGTGGAAAAAGGAAACGGCCCTCAAGAGAGTTCGGGCTCTGGGGCAGAAAGAGCTGGACCAGATGCAAAAGAAGGGGCTCTAGGAGCCTGAGGGACATAGACTCAGGGCTGCAGTTGAGAAAGGAATATGGACCAACCACACGAAGGCTCCAAATTGGTGGAAATTGGAAAAGGGCAGGGAAGCAGGATAAGAACCTAAGCTAGAAAGCCCCTAGAAAAGAGGCTGGGTGCTAAGAAAGGGGCTCATACCCAGTGCAGGCCTGGTCTCACTCTCTATCCCGGTAGTACGAGGAGATGAGGTTGACAGCCGGGAACCACTGTGACAACCTCCGCAACCGAAAGAACGAAATCCTGGAAATGAGCAAGCTGATCCAGAGGCTGCAACAAGACATTGAAACAGTCAAAGGCCAGGTGAGACTCCTAAACAGCCTGGGAGAGTCCATTGGAGGTCCACTCTGCTGCTGGGCAAGACAAGGCAAGACCGACCTTGCCTGTGAGCAGTGCGGAAAAGGGACAAGCCTGAGCTACCTCAGGTCACGAGAACAGGCCCTTCTCTACCAGCTGCCCACCAGCAGCACAAGGATAGGTGGCCTGCTGTCAGACAGGAAGTAGCAAACGGGTAGTCTTCAAACCCGGACTCTTATCCTGGGACCTGACCTCCAGCATGACTCTAGGTTGGTTACAAAACTAGACACACTCTACTCTCCCAGGCTGCTGAAGACCAGCCAGGAGCTAAAATCTTCTAGTCACAAAAACCCCACCACAATTATTGAACATATTGGAGAGGGAAATCTCTGATCTCCCTGGAGGAAGCTCCCTGTTGCCAGGACAAGCCAGGTGCACAATCTTAGGATAAAAGGCACAGCCAACTCCAGCCTGCAGGAACCACCACGTGTTTTAAGTTCATCTGTGGGTCCAGCTCAAAGCCCCAGGAGCCCAATGACGCCTTCCTATGCCCTCTCCCCAGCGCGGCAAACTTGAGGGAGCCATTGCCCAAGCAGAGCAGCAGGGTGAGGCAGCCCTCAGCGACGCCAAGTGCAAGCTGGCAGGGTTGGAGGAGGCTCTGCAGAAAGCCAAGCAGGACATGGCCTGCCTGCTCAAGGAGTACCAGGAAGTGATGAACTCCAAGCTGGGCCTGGACATCGAGATCGCCACCTACAGGCGCCTGCTGGAGGGCGAAGAACACAGGTAAGTAGGGGAACAGTCCGCAGTACCACCTCCTTATCGCAGTGAGGGCAGAAAGGAAGGTTCCCTTTGAGGCAGGTGCCTGATTTCTTTTCCCTCCTTTCCCCAGGCTGTGTGAAGGCGTCGGGCCTGTGAACATCTGTAAGTGACTGAGTCATACATCCTGGACTTTGTGTCTCAGGACTTGATCAACCAAGGTGGAAGCCCATCACACTCCAGCCGGCCCTCCTGAGCCTCCCACATTCCATGGGAAGAGCCTGTCTGCCATGGGCCCCGTGGGCTGGTAGAGAAGAGCTGGCAGGGTTGCTGGAAGGGTTAGCAGCAGGCTCAGGAGAGAAACACAAGACAAAGGAGAGTCTGAGAGGGGAGGCATCAGGCCGGGTCTCACCAGGACTGCAGGGAAAGGGGAAAGTGTGTGAGGAGTTTCCAAGCACCGAATGTGGCTAGACAGGGCAGACAGGGAAGTCAGCAGCTGGAATAGCTATCCTTGGAGGTGGGTGGCGGTGCTGAGAGGAGTGGCCTGGCTGAGACGGTTCAGTGGGCCCTGCAGAGCCACACAGGGTGGGGCCCTGAGCATGCCTTCCTTTCCCCACAGCGGTGAGCAGTTCCAAAGGCACCGTCCTGTATGAGCCATGTGTGGTGAGCACACCCATGCTGAGGACCGAGTACTGCGCAGGGACTACCAGCCTCCTCAGGAGCAGTGGGGGCTGCAGCGTGGTGGGCACCGGTGAACTCTACATCCCCTGTGAGCCCCAGGGGCTCCTGGGCTGTGGGAGCGGGCGAAGTTCCAGCATGAAGATGGGCTCAGGAGGCAACTCCTGCAGCCGCTAGTGTTAGCACCACCCCAGAGGCTGGAAACCCAGGGGGCAGGGCCCTAGACATCACGTTTCCACAGGGCTAAAGACCAGAACATTCTAAAACATTCCCTTCCTGACTGATTCCATACTGCCCTGGGATACCCCTGGGAACCGAGCCACCCTCAGATCCATCTTAATCTTCAAAACCACCATCCATGTAGTTGGGTGCAGAACCCAAGCTGGGCCCAGGGTGGGCGGGATACCAGAAAAGAGGTGGCATAGTTCCTGACACTGGGACTAGTGGCAATCAGTCCTAGTATGACCAAGAGAATGGCAATAGTACAACAGCTATCTCCCAGGTGAGACAGCTAAGTGGGCACTCCACAGTTCTGTTTTGTGGAAGGCTCCATACCACTTTCCTTACAAAGCCAGCCCCACCCTTCTACCCCATGCAAGCCTTCCTGTCTCCTTCCCTCTGGCTCTCAGGCCACCTCCCACGAACAGTGAACTCACAGCATGCATTATTGCAAATGTCAAAAGGAGACTCCCCCAAATCCCATTCCGAATTCCAAAGCCAAGTGCCAGAATTAGAACTTCAGGGCCACTGGGGTACAACTGGGGTCCTTCCAGCACACAGACTCAAGAGGTGATCTTTAGGCAGATTTCCTCACTTGGGTATGTCGAACTCAAACTATAAAAATAGCTCACATCAGCAGCTGATTGTGGAAAACACCTAGAACAAAGTGTAAGTACCCATGAAATAGTTACTGCACAGGCAGACAGTTAGGTGCTGACTTTGGTTAATGCAGTCAAGCCCCAGCCAGCCCACCTCTGTACATAGCCCACTTCCTGCTTCCTCTCCATTAGTTTCTCTAGCTTTGGCACTTTGGGGCTTTGGGTCCAGAGGAACATGGTTGCCCCTACAGTGGTGTGGGGTCTAGGAAAATGAGAAGATATTAGGCACATCTACAAACCCCACCTGCCTAGGGTTCAAGTCCTCTTTGAAGAGCCTCCGAGCTGTCTGATCCCAATAAACTGACTCTGTTCACACAACAATCAAAGTTCTTACCCTGCTTTGTTGGGAGTATGCAATGAAGCTGAGGGGACTCATGAGCAGCCTTCAGGGCCTAAGGCTTAGGAATGGAAATAAAAGGGTTGTACTCATGGTAAAACGGCATATGCCTGATATGGAAATGGCCTGAGGAATAAATATGACACCAGACAAATCACACCTAAAATATGCACATCCCACCCTCAGTTGCAAGACTCTCGCCATGTAACAAACTGCACATTCATTGCACACAGGTCTCTCCACTCCCTGCACATAATCTAGAGGAGGCCCACAGGGCCCCATCATGTCAAAACTGCATCCAACAACCCCAGGGCCATTCCCAGGGCCTGGGCATTCTCCACCTGGAAAAGCCATGAAAATGAGTGACATCCAGACTAAAAGGAGAACCAGGATATTCTACCCACCTCTCTTCAGTAAGAGAACCTCAGGATGTGTAGACAAGACTGAACTGCAGTTCTGCTCTGTGTGAGTCCCCAGTACCCTACCCTGCTTTCTTCACTGATCCCAGAAATAGCCCCTCCTAAAGGACTTTCTTCCCCTTGTGGTGCCCCCTGCTTGGGGTTGGGATGAGCCTCCCCTTCCCCCATCCAACAGCTCCACACAGAGCCTCCATCCTGTACAGAGCTCTGAGCTAGAGTCCTATGGTCCTGAGATGACCAAGCTGCCCTGTTAACCCCCAAGGAACTCTCGGCCAAACTGAGGAGACATAAATAATGATCCAGGAGGAGGAGAGCAATGAGACAAGTTACTAACTGTACTGGAAGCACAGAGACTCACAGGGAGGATGGCAAGACCACAATGTGACAGAAAGCCTGAAGATTTGGAGCACTATGCTCAAAGAACCCACTTACCCACTTTTCATTCAGGCAGTAGATATTTATTAAGCACCTGCTTGGGTCAAGCCACCAGATGCTGACAGCACAGAAGTAAAGGGCACAGCCCTGAAAGTACCAGTACTGAGGTGTGGTGAGAAGTACAGTGTGGCAGGGCCCGAAAAGCTCACATGTAGACTTATCTAGCCAATCCTCTCTTGGGGGTACCCAAGAGATATTAACATGTGTGTCCACACTAAAACCTGCTACATTATTCATAACAGCTAAAAGCCTCTGGAAACAACCAAAACATCCATGAAGAAATAAGCAAAACAGATCAACAAATTCGGCATAGTCACACAGTAAAATATTATTTTGTCTCTAAAATGGAATGGAGCGCTAATGCATGCTGCAACATGGGCAAACCTTGGGACCTGCAAGCTGAAAAACGTTTGTCATAGAAAACACTGATTATGTGACTCTACTCCTAGAAGTGCAATGAAAGTCCAGAATAGGGAAATCCAGAGAGACAGGGCGAATGGTGGTCGCTTAGGGCTAGCCAGAGATGAAGCTGGATCGGGGGAGATAGCTAAAACGTTTCTTTCTGAAATGGTGAAAATGTTCTATAATTGTAACGATTGCTGTGAACATCTGTGAATAGACAAGAAACTATACCAAATTCCCTGAACTGTGCTTTAAATAATCAAGTTGTGTGGTAATATCATTGTATTCTAGTGCTTTTAAGAGGGGAACACCCCCACCACCTTAACAGGAATACAGGCTTGGGACATTAACTCCAACAGTTGTCTTTGTCACAAATGTGGTTGAGTAGGAGACCATGGGGGAATGGACTTGAGGGTCCCACTTCAGTCATGAGGACTCAAAAGCCCTCCAGGAAGAACAAGAAGCAGGCAAGCCTGAACTTCTCCACATACTGAGAAGAACAGGGAACCTTTTCAGCTCAGACACAGAGATGTGTCTGTCCCTGTATCTGTCAAGCTCCCTGCTGAGTAATAACCCAGAGCTCAGAAACAGCGATACTCTGACCTGGAGTCAGCACCCTTTCTTTGAGATTTTTAATCCAAGGCAGGGGATTCCTATGGAGTTCCTGTGGAGTATTTGTTGGGAGGTTGGGGCATCCCTAAGCACCACCCACCCCAGCCATAGAGCCATAGTTCAGGCCTGGTTGCAGCTCAGAGGCTTGGGCACACCCGCTCAAGACTCCAGGGACTCCCCACCCCATGCTGTCTTACAGTAGTCAGGTCTCCCACCCCATGGGAAGTGATTCAGGGCAGGCAGAAAGTGCCTCCTGGTGGTGACCTGGTAGTTCTCATTTCATTGAACTCAGAACAGCCCCACTGGGTGTTAGGACACAGAAGGAATCCCCTGTCTCCTTAAGAATCTCCACTCTCAGCCCCTCACTGAGGGCCCCAGCAACGACAGGTGGGGAACAACCCACAGAGGTGTGAAGAGGATGGAAGGTCCCAGAACTGAACTTCATGTTCCTGTGTTTGCCTTCCCAAATGTCTCCCAAGCCTTTGACCCTTACCCTCCCCCAGATGTCAAGTGCTCCCTGCTCCAACATCCCCTCCCCAGCATCCTCTGTCCCCTGCCCCAATGGTCCTTCCTCACCAAGTCACTTCTGGGACCCCAGGCCCACCCATTGATGCCTCTCTTCAGCTGGAGTTACCCAGCACTCAGGAAGAAGCCCTGGGGCTTATATTGGGACAATATAAGCTTCAGAAATGACACCAGGAGGAGCTGGAGAGATGGCTTAGTGGTTAAGAGCACTGACTGCTCTTGCTGATGATTTGGGTTCAATTTCCCAGAACGCACATGGCAGCTAACAACCATCCATAACTCCATTCCCAGGGGAATTTGACGCTGTCTTCTGACCACAGACTTTGCACGACATGAGTGTACTGACTGCAAACAGGCAATACACACTCTCTCTCTCACACACACACACAACTATTTTTTTTTAATTAAAAAAAAAAGAAATGGCACCATGACTCTGGAGGTAGTCAGAAGGATTGCAAGTTCAAGGCCTACCTGGATTACAGAGATAGTTCTAGACCAACCTGGACAACTCAGTGAGACCCTGCCTCTAAAATATATAAAAAGTAAAAAGAAGGATGGGGCTATAGCTCAGTGGTAGAGCACTTGTCTAACGTGCAGAAGACCCTGAGTTCAATCCCCAGTCCTGCAAAAGAGGAAGGAAGGAAGGAAGGAAGGAAGGAAGGAAGGAAGGAAGGAAGGAAGGAAGGAAGGAGAAAGAAGGGAGGGAGGGAGGGAGGGAGGGAGGGAAGAAGGAAGGGAAGGAAAGAAAATGACACTGTAAGCAAAGGCAGGGAGCCAGGTCACAGGAACTGAGAGCTGGAAGAGGCTGTCCTGGCCACCTCAGCACTGTTGCAGTCGTAGCACATGAGTCCACAATGAACCTTGGTGGAGGCAAGATGAACTCCACACCTACCAGGAGCAACATTTTCACTTTAGACAGGTGACATTTGGTAGGCAGGGAATTTGAATCCAACCTGAAAAGAGCACCTGGGAGTTGGGGGGAGGGGTGTTGTCACTCAAGAAAGGGCACTTTACCTCCTCCCAAACAATGGTCCTCCGTCTGAAAGGGCACAGAGGGTGGAGGTTCTGGACAAGGGTGGCCTCAGCCTCCAGCCCACCCAGGCATCTTCTACTGGGGGACCCCAGAGCTTGCTTTCCTGGCAAGGGCAGGTCTCAGCATGTGAGCCTGGCTGCAGCACAAACTTGTCCCCAGGCGGAAAGGAAGCACTCTGCAGAAGTGGCATTCATCAAAGCCTCCTCAGCATCTAGGCTTTCCCTCCCGTCCTTCCCACGCTCGCCCACAAGCCCAGCCAGGCGTGCCCAGGGTTCCCGCACCTTGTTTGAGCAGCCAGGAGGGGGTTCCCCTTCCCTCCTACTCAGTGTGTTCCCCTCCCCCATGCATCAGATACAATCATGATGACCAAGCAATCAAGGCACAGTCACACCACTGAGGAGAGGCAGGTCTACAGGATTACACCTAGACTGCCGGACAAGAGAAACTGTCACAACAGCAAAACCTCCAGCCCAGAGTTGCCAGGGCAACTCCTACCCCTGTCTCCACCCACCATCCCCTTGAACAGGCAGAGGGCTGTGTTATGCATCATCTGGCGAAATAATGTCTCAGAACTATAAAATGCTGATGGTGACAGGGTTATGCTTGACTGGTCCCAATCGCTCCCGCCCTCCCTTCCTGCTCAGGTTGCAAGAAAGCCAAGATGGGGACAGCCCAGGAATGCCTAAGAGGGCAATGAGCACCTCACCACCAGAATATGGGGTACAGGGTTGAATGGGGGAGGGCTGCGCAGAAGTGAAGGGAGAATTAGACCAAGGGATCAACAGAGAGAACAAATGTGAAGAAACTGAGGCTCAGAGAGGCTCCCCAGTCCCCTGAAGGTCATGGGCATACCGTGGACCAGGATGTGATCTGACGACTGACACTGTTTAGAATGGCTGGAGTGTGGTAATGATAGAAAGCAGCCAAGTTTTGCTTGGTGGTGCTATCATTTTTAAGTTCTCTACGCACAAGTACCCTATTATCTGTGCCCCTCTGCATCAGAACCCACTGTCCAAGGCCACATGGGGGATCAAATCCAGGTCCACCAGACTCCATATCTGAATCAAGCCTTTTACCCTCGCTGGTGTCCTCTCTGCCATCTTTCTGGCTCCTCTCCTGCTTTCACTTCCAGTGAGGCTCTTGGGTTCCCTTTCCAGTTACCTGCAACCCTGTGCCCTGTCCTCCAAACAGTCAAACTGAACCCCTAAGTCCCAAAGCTAGTGAATGAATTGGGTCATTCCTTCTGTGTACTCTTGAATTTCTTTGCCTCCCTCCCCCACGTCCACATCTGTCCACACTGAAGCCTGGAAGCTCCTCTTCCTACAATATCTGCAATTTCAAATGCCCAAATGCCCCCTGTTCCTTTCTCCTTTTTCTCCTCCTGTTTTTAACCTCTGTAATGTATTCACTCATTTAACAAAACTAGACAGAATGCCTACCCCATGCCCCTACACCACCCAGCACTGGGGACTCACAGAAACAAAACAGTGCTGCTCCCTAGAGCCAAGGAAGACAGACAATAGCAGACAAATCCATGCAGGAGAAGGCCTTGGGTGGCGAGAAGTGCTCAGAGGAGAAGGAAGCAGGGGAGTGGGGCAGGCGCTCCAACCGTGGGTAAGAAGGTAGCTTACAAAGACTGCGGGAACTGAGGGACCTGGACAATGAGCTATTTGAGGGGAAACAACCCCACAACCTCAGCAGTAAAGCAGCAAGCAGGAAGTGTCCAAGGCAGGAGCGTCCTACTTGAATGGAGAACAAGCAGGATACCAGGGTGGTGGGGGCAGAGCCAGCAGTGGGGCAGGGCAGTCAGGAAATGGAGGCCCACTACAGAGAGCTGCACATGGTATTGGCTCTGAGGGTCCTCAGCACAGAAATGACAAGATGTAGCAGGTTCTTTGAAGGATCCTGTCACCTTACCATGCTGTTGAGAATAGTCTGAAGGAACAGGAAAGGAGGCTGGGAGACGACTCAGGAGGGTGAGTCATCCAGGGAAGAGCCAACAATGAGCTTCAACTGTCATGGCAGCATGGAGGAGCAAGAAGCAGCTAGAGTCCAGGAGCTGTGAGGATAGGTTTGTGATAGGCAAGGTGGGAGAGTAAAACGGATGGAAAGGACTATTCCAAGCCTTCTCACATGAGCTACTTCAGAGATAGTGAGACTAGCAGGTGGAAAATAGGAAGGAAGAACAGTTAGGGGAATGGTTTGAAATATATTGCTTGAAGAGATAGCAATTAAACACACACTCTGGGACTAGAGTATATACGCTAAAGAACACTTGGATGTTCTTCCAGAAGACCCAAGTTTAGTTCCCAACACCCATATTGGGTAGCTTACAACCTTTTGTAACTCAGGTCCAGGGGATCCAACATCGTCTTCTGGCCTCCACAAGTGCCTGCACTCATGTACACACATACTCACATAATTAGAAGTAAAATAAATCTATTATTTTTTTATTTTATGTGTATGAGTGTAGTGCCTACACATATGTAAGTGAACCCATGCTATGCAATGCCCATAGAGGTCAGAAGAGGGTTATTGAATCCCCTGGAACTGGAGTTACAGATGGTTGTTAGCCACCATGTGGGTACTGGGAACCAAACCCACATCCTCTGCAAAAACAGCCTGTGTTCTTAACTGCTGAGTCATCTTTCCAGGTCCTAAAATAAATCTTTAACAATATATATAGTCTCAGAGTGAACAGGCAGTCTGAGGTGCAGCTGTGCCTTGGTGCTCACTGATGGGCAGAGAGTATTTAAAGCCATGAGTCTGTATGACATCACCAAGGTATGAGCGTAGACTTGGATAGGAAAGGTGTGAAGAACTGGTCCAGGGACTCTGGGGTATGTAGAGCTTGGGGACATGAGGAAGAACTGGCTACAAAAACTAAAAAGGGCTTAGGAGCCTGCAGTATCTGGAAATGAAAGGAGGAAGAGGATGTTAGATTCCCTGGAGCTAGAGTTACAGGAGGTTGTGAGGTATCCAATGTGGATGCTGGGAGCCAAACTCAGATCCTCTGGAAGAACAGTACACACTATTAATCACTGACCTCTCTCTCTAGTCCCAGGGTGCATTTTAACTGATATCACCATGTTTGGAAGGGAAAGATACTAGGTTGTGTTAAGCACTGCTAATAGGTCAAGGGAAATGAGAGCTAAAGGCAGACCATTACAGACAGCAACACAGAAGACTCTGGTGATCTTGACTCGTATTCTCCTGTAATTTATTTTTCTACTTCTCCATCTTTGACATACAGCTAATAGCTGGGTCTACACAAAGTTCCCACTTGGGTGAGATTCTCATTGAAAAAGCACATAACCCTTTTCTATGTCATATCCTAAGAATCCAGCATGTTTCCCCAGGCACAGGACAAGGAGGACAAACTGTATCACATACTAGAATTAAAAAGGTGAATGGCAACTTCAGTCCAGAAAATCTATAATATTGTCAATAGTAACAACAATCCCCACTGGTTGAAAACTTTTTATTTTGTATCCAGGCGCTTACTGCTTTGTCTCTTCATTTTAACCAAAGAACCCTGAACAGTTCAGAAACCAGCAGGAACAGGGCTACAACTCAGCCCCAGGGTGCACCTGGGGGGCTTCAAGTAATGTGGTTAACTTTATACACACTATCTAGGACAGAGTAGACACTAATGAATAAATTTCCTTTGACTGTCTCAAATCAGAAATGTGTCCACGCCAGCACAAAGGAGCCCTGCCACAGATTCAGCACTTACATAAACAACCGAATCCTGGAAGGTTAAGTAGGACACTGCAGAGGGTCGTTTGATCATTGAATCTATCCACAGAGGTTCAGTACACTGTTTTCTCTCTGTATCATTTCTTCTTTGGAGCTGTTCAGACCCTGTCTTTATGCACATTCCTTCATGTCTTGAGGGGCTTGGTTTTGTGTTGTTGCGTCCCTCCTGAGCCTCTGGTTGAAACTGTTAGCATTCTAACTTTCTGGTGGTTAGCCACACTTGCAGTGAAAAAACCCTGCAAATTTATGAGCAAAGCAAGTTAATGTCCCCATAATGGTAATTGTGGTGGACTTATAGGGAAAATAGGACTATAATATTTATGTGTTTAAGTGTTTTTAAGTTTATAGATCGGCCGCTCTAGCCTCATCCTGATGAGAATAGGTGTGCCTGAGTTAGCTCATTGTGAAGGAGGTTATAGGCATGAAGAGTTTCTGCTAACTACCCAAGCTCATAAATGCCTTCAAATGGCTTTTTTCATTTTTATGAGGCCAATCCTTATGTCCACACACACATAAAAGGGGTGAGAGGGATCCACTAGCCTCAGAGAGACTCCCAGCTGCAGCTTGCCCCACTCCACATTGCTCCTCAGCTCTCACCCACAAAGCCACCATGCCTTGCCGCTCTTACCGAGTCAGCTCTGGTCACCGGGTGAGCAGCTTCAGTTCTTGCTCAGCAATGGCCCCCCAGAACGTGAACCGCTTCCGGGCCAGCTCTGTCTCCTGCAGAAGTGGGTCTGGCTTCCGGAGCCTGGGTGGCTTTGGTAGCCGGAGCGTCATCAACTTTGGATCATCCTCACCCTGGATAGCAGCCAGGTGCTCTCGTCCCATCCGTTGTGGAATTGGCTTTGGAGCTGGCAATGGGATGGCCTTTGGCTTCAGTGATGGGAGCGGAGTTGGCCTGGGCTTTAGGGCCGGCAGTGGTGTTGGCCTGGGGTTTGGGGCTGGCAGTGGCCTTGGCTATGGTTTCGGCGGCCCTGGCTTTGGCTACAGAATTGGAGGCATTGGAGGAATTGGAAGCCCAGCAGCTCCCTCTATCACATCTGTGACTGTTAACCAGAGCCTGCTGACTCCCCTCAACCTGGAGATTGACCCCAATGCCCAGAGGGTGAAGAAAGATGAGAAAGAACAGATCAAGACCCTCAACAACAAGTTTGCCTCCTTCATTGACAAGGTAACTGTACTGGCCAAACCCTCAGGACTGGCATGGTGAGAGCTAAGTCGTGTTGGGGTGCTCTCCCCTTCAAAAGAGATGTCCCCAGTGTGTGTCATTGTCTTTGACCTCTGGTACTTAAGACATCTGCAAAAGGCAGATGGCTTCTGAGTTGTTCTGCTCCAAAAATAGACAAGTCAGAGGAACAGCTGCATGGCGAGACAGATCAAGATGATGACCACACTTTGTGGAAGAATGGGGGACATCCAGTCAAATCTGAGGGCACACAGGCAAGCTAAGCCCTACTGTCTGGCCACTTAGAAATGTCTCCCACACAAGCATGGATTTTAGTCAGGTGCTGGGTGGCTCACGCATTCTTTCAGATTGCAGTGTTCTTTGTGAAATTTTAAGTTTCTGAGGCTTGTAGTCTCATCTGTTCAGACTTAGGAAAGTGCAGACGTGAGTGAAATTATTTTCACACAAAAATCAAAGCATTCATACCCCCAACAGAGGCTACCAAGATTGGTCAAGATCGAGGGAAATATGGGGGGGTGACCACCAGTAACCCATATACAGAAATAGTGTGAATTGTCCAAAAGTAGACACCCTGTAAACTGTGTCCACATAGAGACTGTTACCTGGTCTGTGCCTGGAGATGGTAAGTTCATTTTGTCTTTAACATGAATGGGCAGAGCCAAGGAACTAAAAGTTCTCTTCCAGATCAGCTGCTGGACTATCTAAGAAGGTGGCCTGGTAGACGGTCCCAGGTGGTGGCCTGGTGCACAGTCCCAGATGGTGGCTTGGTGCACAGTCCCAGATGGTGGCCTGGTGTACAGTCCCAGGTGACGGCCTGATGCACAGTCCCAGGTGATGGCCTGGTGTACAGTCCCAGATGGTGGCCTGGTGCACAGTCCCAGGTGATGGCCTGGTGCACAGTCCCAGGTGGTAGCCTGGTGCACAGTCCCAGGTGATGGCCTGGTGCACAGTCCCAGATGGTGGCCTGGTGCACAGTCCCAGGTGATGGCCTGGTGCACAGTCCCTGGTGGTGGCCTGGTATACAGTCCCAGGTGGTGGCCTGGTGTACAGTCCCGGGTGGTGGCCTGGTGCACAGTCCCTGGTGGTGGCCTGGTGCACAGTCCCAGGTGGTGGCTTGGTGCACAGTCCCAAATGGTGGCCTGGTGTAGAGTCCCGGGTAATGGCCTGATGCACAGTCCCAGGTGGTGGCCTGGTGCACAGTCCCTGGTGGTGGCCTGGTATACAGTCCCGGGTGGTGGCCTGGTGCACAGTCCCAAATGGTGGCCTGGTGTACAGTCCCGGGTAATGGCCTGATGCACAGTCCCAGGTGGTGGCCTGGTGCACAGTCCCAGGTGGTGGCCTGGTGCACAGTCCCAGGTGGTGGCCTGGTGCACAGTCCCAGATGGTGGCCTGATGCACAGTCCCAGGTGGTGGCCTGGTATACAGTCCCAGGTGGTGGCCTGGTGCACAGTCCCTGGTGGTGACCTGGTGCACAGTCCCAGGTGGTGGCCTGGTATACAGTCCCAGGTGGTGGCCTGGTGCACAGTCCCAGATGATGGCCTGATGCACAGTCCCAGGTGGTGGCCTGGTGCACAGTCCCAGGTGATGGTGTGGTATACAGTCCCAAGTGACTACCCCTAGTATCATAGCCTCTCCCTCCATCCCTAATGCACCCTTCTCTGTGCTGTGTACTTTGCTAGGGATGGCTGACTTCTATTCTCAGATTCAGACAAGCCCCAGCAGAAGCCCCGTCTTCCCAACTTCCTTCGTGACCAGCTGACACCTTGCTTAAGGGTGGGAAGAGAATGGTATTGAAATGTCTCTGTAGCAAAGCCTAGCTGAGCATGAGGAGGGAGTCACAGATCAGTCCTTTGAGCTTCTGTTAGCTAAAGGAGTAATGAAAGCCAGCAGAGGGAAGAGCACCATTAATTCAAGGTGGAGAGTCGTCTCCAGCCAGCTAAAGACCTGGTCCATATAGTATACTGTCAAGCACTTCAATGCCTCGCCTTTGCCTCTTGGGTTTAGGTGAGATTCCTGGAGCAGCAGAATAAACTCCTAGAGACCAAATGGAGCTTCCTCCAAGACCAGAAATGTGCCCAGAGCAACCTGGACCCTCTTTTTGACAATTATATCACCAATCTGCAGAGGCAGCTGGATGTACTGGTCAGTGACCAGGCTCGGCTGCAGGCTGAAAGGAACCACATACAGGATGTCCTAGAGGGCTTCAAGAAGAAGTGAGTGACCTGGGCTGCCCACACCTGGACAAGATATGGGCTATTCCCAGAAACAACAGCCCAGTGCAGATGAGAGCAGCTGTGAGAATAAGCATTCAATGTTGTTCATTACAGTACCCAGTTGAGGACTCGCGGGGACAGTCATATGTGGGATGGGAGGAGAAGGAGGAGGCCCTCCATAGGTCCTAAGGAAAAAGAAGCCTTGGAACTGGGGGATTTGTCCCTAACACTCCCAGGGGGAATGAGTGAGTTGACCTCAGAAGAAAAGTCCTTAGCTTTGAAAGCAGTGCCCACCTTCAGAGTCCTACTTCCTCTGTGTTCAGTTACAGTGACCCTAAGTTGTTTCTCACAGAAGAGGCAGTAATGGTTCAGATCATCAAACCCCAAATCCAAATTAAGAAAGTAAAGGGAATACAGAGAACCAAGGGCTACTTGTCCCATCTCAAAGATCCAGGGGCATATTAAGAGATCACTGGGAGCTTGGGAGTAACTGGTAACTGTTAAGTGCTGGTAAACTGATAACTTTATCTTCACTCTCCCAGATATGAAGAGGAAGTGGGATGCCGAGCCAATGCTGAGAATGAGTTTGTGGCTCTGAAGAAGGTAAAGGGGAGCAATGAGTCCAGGAAGACTTATGTGTGCAGGCTAATATTCTCCAGAACCCCATCTCCAACCCTAGAAACATCCCAGGCAGCCCTGTGATGGCTGAAACCACTCACTCAGACACAGTGGAACCCCAAAGATCATACCAGGTTCCCTTCAAGGTTCTAATTGGCGTTTATATTATTTGGGTTTGGGGGCTGTGAGTTCTAAAAAGATTGTCTCTTATGTTTCTTCAATTATCTAGGCTTTCTTTGCATTTATCTTTTAAAGATTGTGTTGCATTTATTTACTTGCATACATATGCATGACACAATACATATATATGGACAACTTGAGAGAGTTAGTTTTCTTCTTCCATCATATGGGACCCAGGGATCAAACCCAGGTCATCAGGCTTGACGCCCAACACCTTTATCCACTGAGCCAACTCAACAGCCCCCTTTCTTTGCTTTTAAATAAGCACAAGAGAAGGTCTAGCTACCCCTGAGGGAGTTTCAATTTGCAGTAGGAAAAGACAGACATTCACCAAGCGAGGGTCACTTCTGCCCAGTGACTTCACACCATCCACAAAGCCCCTAAGAACTGATGGGTCCTCCCTCCCATCTCCAGATTCTGCCTAGGTGGGAAGGATAAACAGCAGAGGCAATGAAATGAGGAGCTCATCCCTCTGTCTTTCATGCAGGATGTGGATACAGCTTTCCTAAATAAATCTGATCTAGAAGCCAATGTGGATACCCTAACCCAAGAAATCGAGTTCCTGAAGGCCCTGTACTTGGAGGTGAGGCCTCATCTTCTCTAAGTGTGCAAGGATATGACTGCTCAGCCTGGACACCCTAAGAGCTGAGTCAGGCCAGTGACTTTTCAGACACTGGTTTCTTACATCCGTCTCTACTCCCACTCAAACCTATGTGCTCTCTGTCACTGTGTCTGCCAGTGGAAACGGTCAGAAAAATAGGTGTCTCCATAGCCTGTGTTAGTCTTGACAATGACTTCCTGCCATCTATGATCCAAATCCTTATTGGCCAAGCTAAGGACTGGGTCTTGGAATGTCCTTTCCTATCCACTGGCCAGATGACTGGCAAATTGATTTGCCAGAAGAGAAAAATAGCATTTGATTTAACTAGACCAATGGGCTATCTTTTGTTTCCTAAACTAGGGTCTCCACCCTGGTGGGGGCGCCAAAGGGAGCTTTCAGTTTTTCCCTCACAGCAAAAAATGACCTGGCTGGCTCTCCTTCAGACTAAATAGGTTGTTGAGGACTCTGAATCTAGGAATCTCCAGTCTCTACTGTGTTCTAAAATATTGTTAGCTTTCAGTGGACTATGGCCAGCCCAGCCACTTCGTGGATTATAAACCAAAGTAACTTTAAGCCCCAATATGCTGCCACTCCTCTAAGTACTACGGCTCCCCTGGTTTTGATAGTCACCTAAGCAAGAACGAGTGCTGGAGGTATACTCCAAGCAAATAGCAAGAGTTCTAAAGTCAAACTGAAGTCTCAGACATGCCTTTTTCTGAGTCCCAGGCTGGGTAGAGGGTCTTGCAAAGTCATAAACCAAGAAGCAATGCTCTCTGTCCCTGACTCGCATCCTAGGGACCCTGTGGCAGAGTCCCAGCCACTGATAGACCTCTGAGCCCCTCTGTTTTGCTGCTTCTCCAATACAGGAAATTCAGTTGCTGCAGTCACACATCTCAGAGACATCTGTCATTGTGAAGATGGACAACAGCCGAGACCTGAACCTGGATGGGATCATAGCCGACGTCAAGGCCCAATACGAAGAGGTGGCCAGGCGCAGCCGTGCAGATGCTGAGAGCTGGTACCAGTCCAAGGTTGGCAACAGGAAGCCAGGGAAGGGTGCAAGTGCCCTGGGGTGAAGATCTTGGCCTGAGGTCTCCAACCCAGTGTGTCTGTGCATTGTCAAAACACTTCATTCTGCCGCCAGTATGAGGAGATGCGGGTGACAGCTGGCCGACACTGTGACAACCTACGCAACACGCGGAATGAGATCAGTGAACTGACCCGACTGATCCAGAGGCTGAAGGCAGAGATTGAGCATGCCAAGGCTCAGGTGAGAGAGGAAAGGAGAGAAGGGGAGCCCCGAGTCTAGTGAGGTAAGGAACTCACCAACACCTGGACCCTAACTGGAGGACTGTTCAGACTGTCCAGAAAGGCTTCCTGGAGGAGGAAAATACAGAATAAAAGGAAGGCCTGGGACTGGTTCACTGAAGAAGGGAGGCAGAAAGAGTAGTTGACTCTAGACTCCGTAAGTCTCAAAGCAGTGGAAATCAGAAGGGACAGTTAGTGGGGATGGAGACTGAGGAAAAAGCAGGAGCTCCAACCCTGACCTGGCACCGGGCTTCACCCTATCAGCAAGGGTAGTCTTTCCAACCCCACCAGGGAAACCCTGGACCCCTATCAAAGCCCACTTGCAAACTGCTTTCTCTGTAGCGTGCCAAGCTAGAGGCCACAGTCGCTGAGGCAGAGCAGCAGGGCGAGGCAGCCCTCAACGATGCCAAGGGCAAGCTAGCAGATCTGGAGGGCGCCCTGCAGCAGGCCAAGCAGGACATGGCGCGACAGCTGCGGGAGTACCAGGAGCTCATGAACGCCAAGCTGGGCCTGGACATCGAGATAGCCACCTACAGACAGCTGCTGGAGGGCGAGGAGATACGGTGAGTTCTCCAGCAGAGGAAGGAGTGGGATCAGACTTAGGTTTCTAAAAAGATTAACCACATCAGGGGAGGAAACCAGTGAAGAAAAGCTGGAATGAGCAGTCTCCAGAGGTGACAGACAATTGTTTTCCAGAAACATTAGTCGGTTGCCCTTGACAGAAGATTAGAAGGCCCTGTCATCAAATCCAGGTTTATAGACAAGCTGTTCCAGGTCATAGGGAGTTTTGCTCAGATGGTTAATTTGCTAAAATAACAATAATCATCAACAATTTAGGGGTGGGCTGGAGGGAAATGACATGGTTCAAGATGCACTAGTCAGGGATTAGACCCACTGGCCCCTGCTCTACACAGACAAAGAAACCCTTTTGACAGCAAGCTGGTTTCCCAGGATAGCCCATGAGAACTAAATGTATACCTTTCTCTCTTTAGGATCTGTGAAGGTGTTGGTCCTGTAAACATATGTGAGTAACATGTCTTCTTCTTAGCATGGTATTTTCCCTCTCCTTCAAATTTCTTTTTAATTCTGATTTGTATTGAGGTCAGAAGGCTCCCAAGGTAGCCAGTCTGGTTAGGAGAGTCGGGGGTGGGGGCGGGGCAGGACCATCTGGTCCCTGGACTGGCAGCGTGTCCTCAGCTGAGAACCCCCCAGAGCAAAGCAGCCACAAGGATTTACAAGGTCTTCAAGATGAGAGGGGAAAGGGTCAGGCTTTTAACTTTCAGTAACCTTGTCCTTCAAAGCCACCATCTAGAGATTTAGAAAGAATAGAAAGGCTTGTGTCAGGAAGGGGACTCATTCCTGGGTGGCAGATATGGGAGGAGGCTGAATGGAAGAACCCTCCCCCACCACTGCTTCCAAATATAGTATAGAGTATAGGCTATACCGAAAGGAGGCAGGATAGTCTGCTGGCACTGTGGGGGGCGCAAAGATAGTCCCAGCTCTCTAGAATTCCAATCTTCTTGAGAAGGGAAGTCTGAACCACTAACACAGGAAAGACCCCTGTCAGGGACAGACTGTAGCACATCAGCTTTACTTACCCAAAGAGGAGCCATGATTTTCTGGAAGGCGCAAGAATAACCAGGATCCACACCCAGGCGTCTGACTGTCCAGTGTACATGAAGACACCATGGGCAGAGTGCCAACCTGGGATGAGAGGCAGGCAGTAAGCAATGACTTTCTACAGGAGGTCAAGGGCGAGGGAGGTCACAAGTAGCAGCAAGGGGTCTGCTGGAAATTAGGGAAGACAGTGTGAGGTGCACTAAGCAGATTTATCTGGATTCCAGACCTGGAGCATGGACTGTGTCCAGGGGAGTCTGATGGGGCTGCAGAGCAGGACCACCAGTCGAGGCAGGACAAAGTTGGCCAGGGAATGGTGTTGATAGGGTTTCTTGTCTGGCAGATACATGAAGACAAGCACAGTGCACAGTAATGCAGAGAAAAGCCCTATGGATCTATAGAGGTTCCAGTCATCTAGATGGCCCAGCCCACTGGGTCTCCCACAGCCCACTAGACTTGGGCCACAGATAAAATGGAGGTCTGTGGATGTATGCAAACGTGTAGTAGTCAATATGTGTACATGGGCAAACACCCAGGGGTACCAGCAGCATGCCCACTTTCATCTAGATGTCTGTTTTCTGTTGTAGTCCCAGTCCTTGAGTCACCCAGTCAAGTGGCTAGTGAGTCCTGGAGTCAACCTGCCCTATCTTTCTTCCCCACAGCTGTGAGCAGCTCCCGAGGTGGAGTGCTATGCGGCCCTGAGTCCTTTGCCTCTGGCTCCAGCATCTCCAGAAATAGCGGGGTTGCCTTCTCCAGCAGCAGTGGCATTGGTGCCACGGGAGGAATCCTGACTTCCTGCAGCTCGAAACTGAGGGCTGGTGGGTACCTGCTGAGCTCTGGGACCAGAGGGAGCTCCGTGCTAGTGGGTGACGCCTGCGTCCCCAGCATCCCCAGCCCACTGCCCACCGACAGCGGCTTCAGCAGCTGCAGTGGTAACCGCAGCTCCAGCGTCCGATTCTCATCCACCACGACCTCCCGCAGAACCAGGTACTGAGCACCCAGCCCCAGATGGCTGCTGCCCAGAGAAGAACCAGTTGACCATCTCCTGATTCTATCCCCTGAGACACATGAACTCTGGGCCCGAGGGGGTCTCTAGCCATCCTTCCTGCCAGTAGACAAATCCCTAACTCTCATCCTCTTGAAAGATTTTTACATCCACCGCCCAGGTAGGGTCTTCTCCCTAACTGGCGATTTTGCCTCCAGTCTGGAGAAATGTATTTTCAGTTCTAACGCAGAAGGCAGTGCACCTGGGAGAAAGGGACTATTCGAAACAAAGAAGTACACAGACCCCGAAGGCCTATAGCTACGACATCATTCATGCTGAAGGTGTCCTTAACCTGCCACCTGCTGTTCCTCCCTCTTCTCTTCCCTGGCGGAAGATGCTTCTTTCTCTTTTCCCTGGCCCAAAAGACATGCAGTCCTTGGCAGCCCAGAGATCTCTAAGTCCCATGATGGTTCTTCTCCCGGTGGCATATCCTAGCCGCTTGTCTGCATGATTGCTTGTTTATCTGCGGTGCCCTTGAGTCCACAAGGTGCGTGGGGTGCACATGGACAGGTGGGCTCTGCAGCTCCATGTGCCCAGTCCCTGTGATGGTATGAGGCCCAAGCCTGTCCCCTGTTGCTGCAGCAGGGTTGTGTCTGGAAGCTCCAGAATGCTGGGGTAGATGGGTGCCTGTTTGTACTGTTCTTTGTGTTCCTGGGTTTTCAATAAACTTGCCAAGCTAACTTCATGAGGACCCCATGTATCTATCTGGATCATACTGGGGAGGTGGCCTTCTCACCAGCCTGTTCTACTGAGGACATAACTAGGGCAGAGGCTGGTGTCCTGGGAGGAAAGGGCATAAGCCCTTCCAGGGAGGGGCTCACAGCTCTGCCAAGCAGAGGCGACAGGAACTGAGGCTCTGAAAACAAGTGCCACCCACCCACTTCTCTCGAGGCCACTCCTTACACTTCAGAGTGCCCTCCTCCCTACTAAGCTGAGGCCTTCTATTATTGCCCAGGTTCCACCCCACCACTAGGCCCTCTGAGATCACTGCAGTCACTTCCTGGCCATTCTGTCCCCATTCTTGTCCCCATCCGACTTATTCATCACAATGCTACTAAAGAGGTCTCTCACACAGAAAATGGAACATGGTTCCCCCTACTTAGAGCCTTCAGTGACTTTCTACTGCCTTCCGGAAGTAGTCCAAGCTTCTTAACATGGCATTCAAGCCCTGCAGGATCTGTACACACACTTCCTCCCTCTGTCATCCCCTCAGTGCACCCTACTTTCCACCTGCCATCTTTCATTCATTCACTCAACAAGCATGATGCTGGGCCAATAATTGGCAACAAAATCCAGTCCTTGATCTTATGGAACTTCCAATGTAGTCTGAGAAGAAGATAGACACACGACTGTCACCAGGGGCTGAATGCTGTGTTAAGAGCAGAACAAGTGCCGCAGGGCACAGAGGAGAGACCCAGTGCAGACCTGGGCAATGTTAAAAGCTTCCTAAAGATGGGGCTGGAGAGATGGCTCAGCGGTTAAGAACCCTGGTTGTTCTTGCAGGAGACCTGGGTTTGAATCCCAGCACCCATACGGAAGCTAACAACTGTCCGTAACGCCAGTTCCAGGGGATCTGACAGCCTCTTCTGTCTCCCGTGGGCATTGCACGACACGGGTGTACTTAGCTACATGCGGGCAATTGCATGACACAGGTGCACTTACCTACATGCAGGCAATACATGCATACACATAAAACAAAAATAATAAGAAATTTTTAAAAGCTTCCTGAAGATGCAGTGGGTACCCAGGAGACATGCAGGAGACATGAAGGAATGAGGCATCCTAAGGAGAAAAATACAAAAGTGCAAAAGTCAAGAAGTTGTTGAAAGCATGAGAATATGAGGCCTGGAGATGCACAGGGTGCGTCAGAGGTCAAGACACAGCAGCGAGTCAGAACAGGCATCCACCAGCGCAAGACCCAGCCAGCAGCCCGGTCACAGCTCACGAGGGCCCAGACCTCAGCTGCATCCAGGACATTCCTTACTCCAGGGCAGGAGCATATCTTGCACTTCATGCATCCTGAGCTCCCAGACTCCAGCCAGCAACCTGAGGACCCACATGTTGCCCTCCTCAACCTCAGAACCTAGGAGCTCTGGATCTTCTGCTCCAGGGGATCCTAACTCCACCTCATCTTCACATGCAAAGTAACATCCTTCAGAAGCAACATACAGAGGCTGCCCCCATGTGGCCTTGGCTCCTCTCTCAGCCAAATCATCACCCTGGATCAGTGACCAAAGTTATTGCCTCTACTCCAAATTCACCTTTGATTACCTTCTCTTTAAAATGGATCTGTGCCCTTTGCGTATTTTCTTTTCTGCCTGCTGGCACAGTGCTAAGCTTTGCCGATGGGCATCTCAATAAGCACTGAAGGAGGGCAGGACTCTCCTTCCCCTGTTCTCTCACAGGCCCCTCTTTGTTCCTGCAGTGAAGATGGAGTCTACAGTGTGCAGCATTTAGTGGCCAGCAGCACTGCTCAGCTGGCTAGGTCCGAACGCCCGCGGTCATCTTCAGCTTCCCTCTTTCTCTCACATCCCTTTGTTCACTCCATTAGCAAGTCTTGTCATCCCTCGAGCAATATCCACAATCCAACTGTTTCCCACCGCTTTCACGGCTGGCTCTGACACCCAAACTGCTCTTCCTCTTGCCTGGATGGCTGTAGTCACCTCCAAACTGGCCTTCACTTCTCCCACCTTCCTTCGGTCTGTTCTCAGACAGCAGCCAGAGGGATCCTGTGGAAACCAAATCCAGGGGCTGGAGAGGTAGTTTGGTGGCAGAGTGTGTGCTTTGCAAAGTCCTAGGCCAATCCCGAGACCTAAAGAAAAATTAAAAAAACAAAATTAAAACTCTAGATAAATTCAAAAGCAGCTATCTGAGGATTCTGAAAAGTAAATAAAAACAAGCATGGCACATTAACAATTGCTTATCATACAGACGGTCTAAGCATGGTGCCAGGGAGAAAGAACTTCCCTCTGTTTCCCACTTGACAGGAGACAAACCCAAAGCCCAAGAGGTTAAACAAGATGGAAACAGAGGTCAGACTCCTACACAGTGCTGTTCTCCTGTCCCTCAGTGAGCCCCCTGTCTCATCAGTAAAATTGAGACGTATTTCCAACCTCAAAGAGTCTTTGTGGAAATGGCATTCACACCACAGAGTTCCTAAAGCAGTCGGGCACACAATAGGTGTGCAAAAAACCCCTACTGTTGTTTTGACCATGACAATGGTGGGAACATCTGCATTTTTACTATTGGTAAGGGATGGCAGAGCCAGCAGCCCAGCCACTCCAGGGACATCCACCGTGGTGCAGGTGTCCATGACCAGCTTCCACATGACATCCTGGGTCACCCACAAGCACCTCCTAGGCCTTCCTTATGCCTCTCTGAGCTTCTGCCAGGCCAACTGCAGTGTTTGCTGCCCTCTGCCGGCCCCCTGCTTCAGAAGAGCCGGGTGAGGGAGAATCGAGCTGCAGGATTGGGCAGTGAGCCAGGGGACAGGATGAGAAAGCTTAGAATATTTCAAAACCAGTTTCCCCACCAAAATTGTCTTTTAGAACTCAAACATTTCAATAATCAATAGAAACTTTAAAGAAGAAACCTACCCTTACTCATGCCAGCCCAGTGCATCCTTGTTCACGTGGCCCTGTGTGTCTGCCAGTGTGTTCCTCACACTACCCTGAAGTAAGAAAGAGCCATGGGATTGGAGGAGGGCCCTACGTCCTGTGATTTTCAAACTGGGACTGGTCCCCAGGTTGGAGGTCCAGGGCAGTCCACGGGTGGCATTTTCTGCCAAACTTCAAATATCCAAAGACTCCAAGACGCTCTTCATTTGTGCATATATAGAGTCCACCAACACATGAGCCCTACTGTAGTCCAGCACTATTACAAGTGTTCAGGACCCACCAATGACTAAACAGACAAAATGCCTATTCCCACTGGGCTTATTTGGGGGTAAGGAGAGAAACACAATAATGGATAAATAAAATAAGTGAATTCTAAAGTGGATTGGAAGGTGTTAAGTACTAGAAGATTTTTTTAGTAGATCACTTGTACATATTAATGCACAGCAGTTGTGACAACATGCACAAGACCTGTATAAGCTCAACCCAGACAAAATCCCAGCGTGGAGGGGAAGTGGGCTTGAAGCCTCGCCCATAGCTGAAGCATTCTTGATAGCTGCCGGGAGAGGCGGAGTCGGTTTTCTTTAAGGGTGTGACCCCTGGTAGGTTGACCAAGTTTCAGAGGATGAACCCACACCCAAGAGTATTTGGGCAATGCAAATTGGACTCAATGGGCTTTAAAAAAAAAAAAAAGGACATGAGTTGAGTGGGTAGGGAGGTAGGGGTGGATCTGGGAAGAGATAGGGGAGGGATGAATATGATCAAAATACACTACGAAATTCTCAAAGAATTGATAAAAAACATTATTTCAAAGAAGAGATTGGGGCTGAGTGTTTGGTTCACTGAGTAAAGCACTTGCTGTGCAGGCGTGAGGACCTAAGCATGGGTCTTCAGCACTCACGTGAAATCCCAGGTATGCTCATGAACATCTGTAACCCCAGTGTGGCAGGGCGGAGACAAGCAAATCCCGAGTCTGTTGGTCCAGCCAAAACGATGAGCTCCGGCTTTAGTGAAAAGACCTTATCTCAAGAAACAAGATGAAGAGAAATTATGAAGATGCTTGAAACTGACTTCTGGCCTCCACAGGCTCACACGTGGGCATGCACTACCACACACACGTGTCCACACACGCCAACACACACAGAGAGAGAGAGAGAGAGATCAGAGTAAAATAAGCCAGACAGAGGCTGCCCTGGGGTAGGAGGGCAGGTTACTACTTTTGAAAGAAGAACCAGAAAGATGATATTTGAGCAAAATACCCACAGGAAGCAACGGAGCAAGGCACATGGATGAGAGGACAGCCCTGAGCAGAGGAGAAAGCCATGCAGAAGCTGT